GTGTTGCTTGTTTCTGCCCATGATAATTATTCACGAAAGGTCAAATCATGATTTTCATTACTCAGACTGAAAACTTTTTTACTCCATGTGTAAGGCAGTGAGAGTAGGTTGGGAGTAAAGTTCATTCAGTGTCGGGAACGTGATTAGCATCTGATTCTTACACTGATGCATGGTATTGACATGAGGCTTAACTTAAGGAAATTACTAATTTCAGTCACATCTCTTCTACCTACACTCCAGAAATAGATTTCTCTCATGTTATTCATACTGACGGTAACTTTCTAGGGCAGGAGACACTCTGAAATCAACAGCATTACTTACAGAGTAAGGCACTATTCCACATAAGTAACGATAGTCCGTAAAAATTCTCCTTTTGCACACAGACATTACAGGTGCCTGAATTTCTCTAACTCAGAGATATTGCTGCTAGCCTCTGTGTGGCCTTGTGGTGTCACAGTTAAACGAACCTGATGGCTTGAACCTTAACTAAAGACAAAGAAGTAGGTATTTGTAACAGAGTCCTACTTTGCAGTGGTGGGATAAGGGACTGTTTCTATTAAAATCAATGACAAAACTCCCATTTCAATCAGTTCTGCAGTTTTGGGCCCTAGATCTGTATTCTGCTGTGACATGTAAGTGCAGAATAATCATAAGCTTCTGTAAACAACATTTCCTTTTGCTAAACCCCGAGAATACAAATACATTCATCCCTCCCAAAGAAATACCTTAATGTGTAATCCTGCTAGTTTTGTTGGCTTGTGTATACAGTGAGCATCTGACATGGAGAGGGGGGAAAGACCACCAAATGTCAGCCCTGGAGCAGGAAGATCGTGGAGGTACTAAACAAGTACATTCTGTGATCAAATATATACTGAAAATACATTTTCAGTATAAACAGGAAACGGGTTATACAGAAAGGAATGTGTTAGTAGTTAAAAGCCTTTTTTTTTTTTTCCCCTATAGTAATACCTGAAAGGAAAAGTAATTTTTGAGACTGCACCCCCCCTGGAAAACTGTTTAAATATGGTAACAATTTCTAATGCTGTTGTAAATACATGCAGATGTAATTAAACCAAATTATCGGGAGTAGGGAGTTTTGCTGGAATCAGTCAGTCTTGACTAACATCAAAATTTCTTATTTTATCATATAGTTTTTCATTCTCCTCTGCTTTAAACAACTTTGCTCACAAATCAAGACTCCGTGACTGAGATTGGAGGGAGAAACCTTTTCAATTTGTGAATAGTATACACACACAAACGAGAGCTAAAAAGCTGGGTTTAGGAATAGTTACTTTTTGCTTTGAAAAAGCTGCTTCTGATTTTGGTGTACCTATTATGAAATACACTCACCACATGTAAAATCCTCCTTTCTTTTCTCACATGGAAATTGTCTCAAGCCAGTTTTGTGCTTTCCAGGGCCAGCCCTAGCGCACCATACAGAAGGTATCAAACTCAGACTTCATTTTAAAGGCTCTGTCAGCTTTGGGTAAGAAGACAACGAGCCTCAACTTACTTTGTTTGCAGCCAATGGGAGTTTTGTCATAGTCCTTTTGGGGAAGGTGCTGGGGTTTCAGAACTCCGATGCTCTCTAACTAATCACGCTTGAGAATAATTTTTGCCAACATGAGCCATCTCATCTGCTTCCCTTGCCACTACATACAGAGAACAACCCATGATGCAAGCAGCATAGTTTTAACAGTTAGTTGAATTAAATGGTGTTGGATATGGTACCACTCATTCAAAATCCATTCTCTCCCTTCACACTGTTTACAGCACAAGGAATCCGTGGTTCAGCCTGGCTAACCTTTACTCATATAAGCAGCGTTACTGCTCTTGTAAGGAGATATCAGTGAGCCTGTTGACATCAGTGAGTGTGGAGAGATGATCTGCACCTAATTTTAAGTCCTGGTCCAAAGCTCAGTGAAATAAAAGGTGCTCTCCTCAGATGTCACAGGCTACATCCCTGCTCCTGCTGTTCCAGAGCCTAGCTCTCCTTCTACAAAACAAAATAGCCATTCTGTTACTTACTTCAAATGAAACAGAGTCAGGAACTTGGTTTAAGTTATAAGGATAAATTAGTTGTGCATCTTTTTTTTTTTTTCCTACTCCCTCCCAGAAAGAAACCTCCTCAAAACAAACAACTAACCAAACCAGAAAAACCAAACCAAACAAAAATACACCTTCTGTAAATAATTTAAATCAGAAAGCCTTGATATTTTACAGAATAATTTAGTGACAAATTTAGTGTTTACCCAATTGTTACAATTTTTTTGAATTTTTTTTTGTATTTTTTGTATTTTTTTTTTGTATTTTTTTTGCAAACTGCGAATAGGTCTGTAAAAATGCACTGTATAAAAAGTACATACATGTATAATCGATTAGCTGAACTATGCAATCTAAATACCGTGGAATAAATTAGAAAACTTAGCTATAAGCATGTATGTTGATATCTATTCAACTGAGGAAAGGGCTTTTTTTTTTTTTTTTTCCTTTTTCTTTCGTTTTTTTCTTTTTTTTTCCTTTTTTTTTTAAGTTTCTATCAGTACATACAAACAGGGACACACACCCACACACCTACACACACACAGACATGGAGTGCACCCACACACCACACACACACACAAGCAGTTTTGGCTGACAACAAATGAAGGCCCTGATTATACTGCTTAGACATGGGTCCCTCCACGAAGGTGCTAACACACTATCCCTAGCCAATGTGACTGGGTTAAATTGTGCTATCTTTTTCTTTTTCCTTTTTTTTTTTTTTTTTTTTTTAATATTTTTACAAACTCTGCTCTCAGCAATGAGGGGAGCCGTGTTAGAGCTGCTTTTGCTGGGAGGCCTTTGAAAGCCCATCCTATCAGAAGGCAGTGAACAGGGGCTTGGTCCTGCAAACCTGTAAGAGTCCAAAAGTTCAGGCTCAGGTTTATCAAATTCAGTGTAAACAGGGCCGAAAGGTTTCTCCCATTCCCTCTTCTCATCTCCCCTACTCAAAGACACAAGTTATAACTTCAACATTCTTTTAAATATGACAGCAATAGAATTCTTTTTAAACCTATCTACCTACAGGTTGGACCCTTCAGGTTAGGTGTTGATACTGAAAATTAAATTACATTTTACAGGCAATGCGCAAACCCATGAAGAGTTGTCGTGCTAGAGGGTGGTGGTTGAGACTGCCAGCCTTTTGCTGAAGACTGCATTTCAAGCAGAAATCCGATCACAACTGCCATTCTTTTTGTATTTGCAGGGGTGAAGGTGGGCAGGGCCCAAAGCTGCTTGCATTTTTACATCAATACTTTCCAAGTGTACACCACCAATTTAGGTTCCTCTCACACAAATACCATTCTGAATGTGCTCCCTCCTGCTCGTTAGTAACAAACAAACAAGTTTGTAACATACTGTGCTTTGCACACAAACATTCATTGTTTTAAGAACGCTAAAGTGAAGCCAGAAGTGCTTATACCTTGTGTATACACACATATATACATATAGAAATATATACATATATATATGCATATCCCTTGTATAAAATTGTTTCCCGGTGATGCAGTTTCTGTGCATCAGGGATAAGTCTAAGTGTTGTACATGCAAAACAGGTATAATTAGGCTTAGACGGACTGTGGATCCAAGCGCCTTGCATCCAGAGCGCTTTTCTGAGCTTACTCCAAATTGCAGTTTCCTGTTTAGGGTAGAATTTTAATTTAACTGGTTAGCAGATGTACTACCCTGAATGTAATCAACCAACTGACCCCTAATTCAAACTGTAACTTATTACAGGTGAATGGTACCAACCACAAATAGACTTTTTAGAGGCTCGCACAAATGTCTTTGGTGTATATGTCTATTCACTTTAAGGTACAAAATAATAATAATAATTATAATAATAAAAATAGCTATTTTGTGTGCTGTAGCAGTTCTTGTATAGCTCACAATAAGTGCAGCTCTCAACCCCTCCCACACCCAACCACCCTCCCTTGCAAATGTTTGTTAAATAAGGATTAGACAGGTCAGACACCATTGTAGTGCAAATAGTAAACGATTAAAAATTTTTTTTACAAAATATAGAAATGTTTGGCTCCAGTAACTGGACAAACATATTCCTTTCAAGTATCTCTCACTGAAGAATGTTTTTTTTTTTTTTTTTTTATAACAAGTTACTTCCATTTATAAAAAAGTCTTTCTGTTTTTTTTGTGGTTTTTTTTTTTTCTTTCTCTTGCAGGTAAACAGTTTCAAACCAACTAGGTTGCATAGTTCTAACATTGTAAGCACCTTTACAAAATGTAACTTTTATTCTTTCATTCATTCTTTTTAAATCTTTTTTCTTCATTTTTCTTTTTTCTTTTTTTCCTTTTTTCTCTTTTCTTTTTGTAAATGTAGTGCAGAAGATGAAGGTGTATACACCTGCACAATTTCGTCCCTTTATCAAAGTAAATATATGTAAGTGTGTAGTGTCTGTATGTATAAAGATATGTACATAAATACGTAGATACATATATATCCACACAAACACTACACACCTACTCAGTTCCTCGGTAAATTTGGGAGGAAAGTGCCAGTGAATGTAGTGTTCATACACATGGCTTTTCAAGGAATTTCAATGACGTTTTGGACTCAGTCCAAACTGCTGCAGGTTACATGAGCTGCTACCAAGGCTTGAACTGATGGGTAACCAGAAGAGGGAACACAACTCCTCTAGTAATAACTAATGCTTAATATGCTATCTAATAAGATAAGGAGCGTACTGAAAGGAAGGAGAAACTCCCCAACCCATACCGCCATTCAAACGTAGCTCATTCAAGCCTGGGTTCATGAAGCTTTCTTCCTCTTAATAGCTGTACTCCTTTTCTCTCCTCCGTAAGTCTTTTTTTTTTAAAAAAAAAATTCCCCCTTTTTTTTTTTTTTTTTTTTAAATTTTCTTTTCCTTTTCTTTTTTCTTTTTCTTTTTTTCTTTTTTTTTTCTTTTCTTTTGTTTTGTATTTCAGATGATTGTTTCATTCAGAAAGGTTATAAATCATGCCAGGTCTTTTCTCTTCTTGGGCTTTTAAAACATTTTCTTCTCAAGAGAAGGGTCTTGTGCACACACATGTCTATGAACAGCCACACTCCTCCACGATCATGTTCTGTATATCTTTCTTGATGATGTTCTGGCCGTCGTCGTAGTACAGCATGGACATGGGCCGCAGTTTGGTGGGCACACAACATGACTTGAGGTTGGCAAAGGGGCTATGGCCCCGCATGCGGTAATGGTTGATTACAGTGGAGTGGAAAGATAATGATGAACCAGATGTGCCTGCTATATGGCTGGGGCACTCTCCTTCACAGTAATTAGCGTGATAACCTGTAGGTGCAATGATCCAGTCACTCCATCCTATGTCCTTGAAGCTGACAAAGAACTGCTTCTTGCAGCAGATGTTAACCTTGCCATCACACTCCAGGCCTCGCCTCCGCCGCCTGTGCTGGCGGTCCTCTGAGTGCCGGGCAAGCATCATTAGGAAGGGCCTATGCGATTGCTCCTTCTCTTCTTCTCCTGTGAGTTCTCCAGCATCCTTTTCTTTCCCTTCCCCGTCATCTTCCTTTTTCTTTTTCTTGCCTAGTAACACCAGGCTGGCCCCGGTCTCTTGGCACAAGTCACAGGCAATCCGCACATCCAAGGAGCTCTTGCCTTGGTCCAGGAGTCGCTGGACACTGCTGGAGATGGGAAAGATGTGCCAAGTGCTCTTTCGAGTGTCTACTGCTTTTTCTGAAATCAGAGTTTCACTCCTTTCCCCTTTTAGCCCCCCCTCCTCCATATCTTCTGCTCCTTCAGAGTTGCCTTTCGGCTGCCGCTGCTGTTGAAACAGGCGGATGGTGACTTTTGTCCTGCTCCGGTTGGCCTTGGAGACCTTCAAGAAGAGCCATACTTCAGCATGCTCAACCACTGATAATTCGCTGCCTTCCTTGGAAATCTCAAAGTGCAACGTTTTCTTGGGCGTTCCTGATTTGGTAAATGAAAATAGACAGGAAGAGCTAGTTAGTATGTCAATTTACATTCTATTAGACTTCACTGTCACTGCAGGCATGGAGCTCCCTAGGTTTCCTATTTGACTCCACATCTTTATGATTCTTCTGTTCTAATCTTCCCTCACCTAATCCCCTCCTCAGTTTCTTTTGTGCAAATTCTCCCTTTAGAAAGCTATTAGTTTGTCTGTTGTTTCTCAGAATCATATTTTCACATTTCCAGTAGCATATTTTAAGCATTTTGTTTAGCAGCGAGATCTTTATGTTCATTTACACAAAGCATTTCATGGCAAATAAGATCCAGTAGCTGCTAAGAATTGCCTTTGTGATCACTGTTAGCTGAAAGGCAAAAACATATTTGTGATGACAGTCTATGACTATATGTACCATACACATACAAATCTGAGCCTAATTACTAAAGCTGGGGAGTGGGTTCCAGTCCTGCCAATTCTTTGACAATTCTTTTGAAAATGAGGTGGGAGTGAGGGCTGTCCTTTCTCCCTCTGTAAAACACCACCTTCATGTGCATCTTAAAATGAGTAGTAAATGTCAATTTTCTCAGAAACAAAGAAATACCAAAATATGAGCTTTGAGAGGTTAGCAGCTAAATTGTAAAGAATTACAGAATTGCAGCAGGCAGACTCTTCATCCTGTGAGATGTTAGCTGTGGTTTCTGTTCTTAATTTAACACACTGTACTTGCAGTGATTATAGTAATGGTGAATACACTGAAAAAAAATGAGCTAAAGAACTGTATAATTATGAGGATGGTTCTCTGGCATAATTGTATCAACTTGCTGAGATGTCATGATGATGATTATGATGGTGAGGGGGTGTTTCTCTGATACAGAGCTCATATCCTTGGCAGAACTTGGAATGAATAATGAAGGCTGTTTAATGATTTGATCACTAGAGCATAAGAAAGTTAAGAAAGAATGAATTTGCTGGGGGGAAGGGATATTATTTGTTAAGAGAGGAGCTTCTCTGTTTTCGTAACAAAAGGAAAGGCCCTGATAGCATCTTCTGTTCTTCCTCTTTACAGAGGCCAGAGGTCCCAGATTTGAAATGCACAGATACCTCACCTTAGCTAGACAGAAGCAATATTCACAATTATCAGTTTTTCACTGATACTATTCTTGAACAACTCATGACTGTTGACCTGTTTCACTGTGCAATGGTTCTGCTTGTCTAGGAAGCAGAAGTTTGTACCTTGCAAAGGAAAAGTAGTGAACAAAGAAGTGGTTGGAAGCATAAAGTAAAAACTGCTCCTGTGGCAGCAGGGCTCTGCTCCTCATTTCCCATTGCCTCTGAACTCCTCCAGTATGAGCTCCCTGACTATTCTGGTTTCTGAAGTGTGTATGTAGGCTGTACTGCCCCTTGAGCTACCTGTTGCTTTCCTCCACTGTGAAGTCCTGGCACTGACACGTTCAGCTTTCCCTGGTGGCATTCCCAGGTCAAAGAGACAGACGTGTCTGAATTAGAATGGCCAAAGGGCGGGCACAGTGTTTTGTTTGTGTTTTCCCTCTAGATGAGAGTGTGAAATTGTAGACTCTGTTCTGTCAACGAGATAGGAAAACACATGGTTTGTGTTAACTGCTTCTCACACATCAGACTTTGCTGATGTACATCTCCAAAGTTAGCTCCATTAACTTCCAAGGCAGATAGGTGATCCCATGAGACTGTGACTTAGAAAAGGAAATAGAGTGTAGAAAAGACAGAGTAAATTCTGGAGAGTATTGGAGATACTATTTTTGTAGTATTTTTTTAAATGAGATTTGTTCAGTAATGACTGAAATTTCATTAGTTAGCTATCGGAGGGTAACACTAGTTTTTCCATTCTGAATATGCAACTGTGGCAAAGCTGCCAGCTGCACTGGATTAAAGGTTAGCTGATTAGACACTAATCCCCACCCGCCTGGGTTCAGGAGCATGTGGAGGTGTATAGTGACATTCCGCCAGTCCAAAGCAAACCTGCTCCTAGAGATTGGCTGCATTCTGCATAGGGATGTTATACTTCTGTATAACATGTGGGCTATCAGAATGGACACTCCTAAAGCCTGTGTGGGCCGCTTATCCAGCCTGCATCTTCAGCTCACAGAGCAAGCTGCTGCTTTCAAGCACATCTCTTTCCTTAACACAGTGCGAATGAACCCTTTCTGAGGGGAGCGGGCTACTCCAGGAGTTCCTCTTTCCCTAGAGCAAATCAGACCAGGGCACCAAAGAGCTATATACACAAACACGGCCACAATGAGAAATGCAAAAGTTACTTTTATATTCCTGGGGTGCCACAATGAGCACAGACAGCAGTTCTGGTGCTAGGAGGCATCCTGGACACAAGTAGACCAGCTGTACTGGACATGGACACCAATAATGGGCCCTCTCATGTGCTGGGACAAGGGCAGCTGGGCTGTGCATGCTGGCTTGACTGGGGAAGAAGCTGCATCGCCCAGGAGACCAGAAAAGCTGGAGAGCCCCGTGTTACTGAATAACTTAATGCTGTTAAGCGTTAATGCATGGAATTTCATATTTTGTAATTTCCATTCTAGTGGGAACTGAAAATAGTTACAAAGTGACATATCTTCAACAGTAAAGATTCCTATTAACTTAGGCAGTGGTCCAGAAGTGTACCAATGCAATCATTCTTTCTGACAGATGTTACATGAAAAAAAAAACACCAAGATTCCTATGTTCCTGTACGTGTGAAAGTTGTTTTTTTCTCATTACTAAAGATGTTAGAAAGTGAAGGCATGGGAGCATATTTGCAATACTTATTTTTTCACTGCAGGGAAGTAACCTAGAGCAAGGGAGCATATGACCTGTCCTTATTCAGGGATAACAGCCTCCCTGTAGGTTGTTACCTACAATAATGGATTCCCTGGATGTGGTTAGCTGCATTTTCACACACAAATGGTTGATTCAGCTCCTGAATAGAGAAGTTCCAGGAAGCTGATATGAACCTAGTATTACTGCATGGTATGAAATACTCTGTCCTCACACCTGCATAGCTAATGAAAGGTTTAATAACAATTTAAAATATCATTCCTTTTCTCAGATCTTTTTACAAGGAGACTGGGAATGGTCCAGAGCTGGGGACAGGAAGCATGCTTTCACATCAGGAAAAAAACCTCAGCTTTTCTGAGTTCTCTCCACATTCAGTATTAGTGTATTGCAATCACACAGCACAAATGTATGAATCCTGCAGTCTTTGCAAGGTTACTGAAGCTCAGACAGCTCATTTTGAAGTCCAGGTTTGATCTGTAGTAGAATTGAATGGAGATCTACAAATCTGGCTTACTATGATTATATACTCGCTTTATAACAGGATCTTTATATTTCCAAAAGGTTCTGTACTACAATAAACTATATTCTTCAGGTGTTCCAAGACCAAAAATCTGCTGAATTTCATTTTATCCACATTTTGCATAGGGATTTATCAGTCTTTTCCTTCTGGTCTGAGTTAACAACCCTGTTCAAACCATTAGAGATATATACTGTTCATTTACCTGAAAGGAAAAAGGAGACCCTCCTGAAAATTGGGTTTGGTATCACTTTCATAATTATACTTGTTTTATCCTTTTGTCCTGACTTTTCATCTGCCACAGCTGTTTTACAGGGGTGTTTTTCCATTTGTAATCATCCTGCTCTTCCTGCCTTACTCCTGCAGAAAGACCCCTAGACCAACAGCGGTAGCGCCTTCAACACTTCAGCACTCCTATAAACAGCAGAGTGAACAGGCTGGACTGTTACTGCTGAAGAAAGCAGCTGAAAAAGGAAACGAGGGATTACATTGGGCCCCCTGTGATTGCTTTTCTTCATCTCCGCTTCCCAATGTCCTGGAGAGAACATTGGGCTAAAGTGTCTTCCAGGAGGAAGGCTGGGATACTGATGGAACCACCCAGCAGCACCAGGAACACGGCAAAAGCCGTGAAAAATGGTTAAAAACACAAGCCCTATGACATAGTGCATTTATGGTAAAAGGTTTAATGGAAGGAGTTACTGAATGGAAAGAGTGCCGCATCACTATATAAGCATGAGGGTTTGCTCGTATGTGTGTTTCTCTTCAGTGCTCACACATCATTTTAGGACCCAAACGTGGTGCCTGCGCAGGTACCTCACTCACAAGAGCCTCCAGGAGGGCTGTCAGGGCCCAAGCCAGAGGCTTGGCCTGCTCGCAGGCACAGCCAAGTGTGGGTATGGCACAGGGCAGCGTGGAGGGCCTGAGGCCAGGCCCAGCAAGCAGGGCTCAGTCTTTGGAGCTAAGGATCCCTCCTGCAGGACCACTGGGTGTAAACATGTAGTCAAAACCACTGATTTGCAGTTTGAAACCTGCCTCAAAGTCATGCCTGCTTAGCTTGAGCTATGTGTTCAAGGGAGGGCCTGAGCTATACAATTAAGAGGTTTTTGTTTGTTTGAATAAAATGCTGATACTTTAAATTACTTTTTCCCCCAGAACCGCGTGCTGTTAAATGATTAAGGCTGATTTTTTTTCAGAATGAAAGTGATTGTGCTTCCCAACGCTGTCATGTGACTTATTCTTAATTTCTCTTAATATGCAGCATTTAAATTTTCCATTGAAAAATGCTGTGAGGAAGAAGGTGCTGCTGTTACTTTAAATTTCCATTCTTCACCACTGCTTAATTTTGAACCATTTTTATATTTATACTGTATGTGAGCTGTTTTTCCATACAAAGCAAGCTTTTTTTTTTCCTTTTTTAGTTGCTAACTTTACTACTGCCTATGTTTAGATTTGGGGGAATTTGTGCTGCGTACCAATGTGTAATTACATTCAAAAGCATCCTTCTCTTCACTTCTCATTTCCGTTCCCCAGGAGACAGAAAAAAAAAATAGGTTACTAGAAAGGTTCCTCTAAAGAGAGTGAAGAGAGGAGCACGGTTATTGAGAGATAATTGCTCAAAATGTTTACTAATGAGTGACCACTGGAGTTGGATGAATTGTTCACGGTACAGAATTTATTCAG